TTGGTGTTCCCTATCGCTTCGGAAGAGTGTCATGCCTGGTAAGCTCACTTCTGCGTCTGCAATGTCAGGGGATAGCCATGTTTAAGTCAGGATTATGATCTTCAGATCCATCTGAGAGCACATATTCCTGATTTCTAACAGCTTACCCCTTAGTCCTCTTACGTTGCTATAGAGCCACCTGGTGCACATTTGCAGCAGCAGCCGTTATCGGATTTTCAGACAAGCTATTTAAACCGAATCGGCCAGTTCTGTGGGAACTGGCCTCTGCAGGTTTTTTGCCTGCGCGGTTGGTTCACTCATATCTTGTGCCAGAGGTAGTTGACCGAGTTTAACTATCAGTTGCGTGCGTTCATTTTGGCCTCCCTGCTGTTGTCTCACAGATCTGGGTCGGCTCTCACAACATTTGATGTGGCTAGGCAGATCGTTCTTCGAACTGTACCAAGCTTGAAGTGTTTCTGTCAGGTCTTTCCGGTTCCTAAATGTTACAGCCATCAGGCGTGGTGACTCGATAGACGTAAGGTGTGACGGGCGGGGCAACCTGAAAATGCAAACTGCCATCGTGGTGTGGAGGGAAAGGCTACGCGATAGCCATCGCCACTATTGTACATCGTGCTCATGAGCTTCGTCCGGGTTACCGCTGGTGAGTTCGGGTATGCCGTGAACTACCATGGTGGTCTGTTCTTGGGTGACTGGCGCAATTCTGGCTGCTGCACGTACCGACCACGGCTTGTCATGCCTGATACGAATCAGCAAGGACAATTTGACCGATGGTCTTTGGGATGAAAGGATTATGTCTTCAGCAAGTCGTGCCAAGTCAAGAGTTACCCTCATTGTAGGGGGTTTTTCTTTTGATGCATTTTGGCCTTTGAAAAGGCGGCATAGGATTTTACCGCGGTCCATGCAAGTTCAATGGGCGGAACTATGCGTAGGATGGATTGAAGAAGATAGGGAGCTGACGTTCACTGAACTTACTGAGTTTGTATTAGCTCGAGCTAGAATAGCTGGTAGCAGATTCGGTCGGCTGGTCAACCGACTGAAAATAGGACGAGATGTGAAGATGAGCTGACACTTTCAATCGAAACCTGCAAATATATCGACTATAAGACTTAATTGTGGCATATGTAATTTGAACGGTGACGGATTTTCTACTCTTGCAGTTCACTTTTAACTCGCCAGGTGCAGGTTCAGACACTAACTTAAGGCAAGAGTAAAACATCTTTTGACCTGGCGGCCCCCGAAAGTCATCTCATTGCTGTGCCCAACTAGATCACACCGCTATCAGCCACCGATGGACGGGTTCCATAGAGGACTCTCGCTCGTTCTGGGCACATGTCTAGATCCAGATCATGCCCTAGTGCGAGCGCGTATTTGTTTGCGACTTGCTGGACGTAGGAGAGACACCGCAAGGAATGGTCTTAGGGCTCTACTTAATGTTAGCAACTAGAAGGACACGCGACCATGTAATTGACTGCTTGGAATGATATTAAAAAGGCTTTGGAAACAGCAGTGATATCTGCTAGTAAGGCAAACCATAAGGCTAGGCAGAAGCCGTGGATCTCAGTTGATAGACGCTCTTTGACTCATCCAGCCTGGCTCTGAACATTTTAATATTTTCGTAAACATGCTTTTGGATTTAACGTTATCATTGTCTGACTTTTCGGGAGTAGATCTACTTTCAGGAGACACGCTTGCTGACTTGGAATATGCTGATGTCATAGTCCTATTCGGTAAAGACGCTGACAAAATTCAGAGTCTTTCGTCTAACCTAAGCAACAATGCGAGCTTGTTCGGGATGCGGTTCTCACCTTCGAAATGCAAATTGTCGCTTCAAGATTGGGTCGCGTCGTCACCTGAACTAGTGATAGGAAGTGAAGTAGTCGAACGTCTAAACCGCTTCACTTATCTTGGGTGTCTTATCAGTGCTGATGACCTGGTGACTGACAAAATCTCAGCACGGATACGGGAGGCTCGACTGGCTTTTGCCAAGTTGTGTCACCTATGGAGCAGGCGAGATATTCGTCTGCTAACCAAAGGACGAGTGTACTGCGTAGCAGTTCTCTCTTTCCTACTATACGGATACGAAACATGGCCGGTGAGAGTAGAGGACATTCGTAGGCTGTTAGTATTTGTTTATACATGTCTTTGAAGCATTATTCGGGTATCGTGGGACAACCGAGTAAGCAATGCTGTCGTTAGGAAACGAATACTAGGTAGAGATGACAGATCGAATAATGAAGTATTTTAACTTCATCAGTCGAGTTGGTTGGAACATGTGTTACGAATGCCCAACCACTAACTTCCTTTGACGAGTTATGTTTTGCGGTGTATGAGTATGCTGGATGAAAGCTGGAGGCGACCAGAACAAAACATGGCACAAATTTATGAAGTCATTGACAAGTGAATTGTGTCATGTTGGTAGATTTAGGCCACCTGGTTAGGGTGCGCGAGATGAAAGTCACCAATGGTTAGAGACCTTGAATGACGTGGCTCAGAGTCGCTTGCTGTGGCACAGGTTTATTCATTCATTTTGTTCTCTCAAATTTTAATCTTCTGAATTCCTCGTCATCTCTGTCCTTCACTTTCTAAATTTATCTGACTGAATCATACTTCATGAATCATATGTTTGAACCCTAATCTTCTCCATTAGTGCTAATACTTATACTGCACCTACCACTATTGGATATTAACTGACATTTGCGTCTCTGTGTTAATGCGGTGTGGCGACTTGAACTGATGTACCTACTTACGAAGTTCTACGTTGTAACTGACTGATGTGTTTTACTATATAACGACATTTAAGTCTCACTAACGCACTGAACTACCAAAACGAAGACACGAGCTTCAAATAAGTTACATTGAAATTATCTATTAAAATTGAAGGAGAATTATGTGACTGTCAAAAATATAAATCCCTAGTCCCACTCTCAACATTTTTCTCGATCGCTGAGTTATCGACAGACTCGTATAAACTGTACATTATGACTGATAAACCTATATTAATCTTACATGAATTTCAGAAAGTTCTTTAAATAACGCAATATCCAGCTAATAGTCTTTTAAGGTATTGACTGTTTATACTAATATGTAATTTGGTTACGGCTGTGGCATTTCATTTAATGTCAGGTGAACTATAATTGCATTAAACAACCATCATGGTACCGATTTGCTTACTACTTTGATAATAAGTGGATTGAGATATATGAATCGACATCTCAACTTAAGTGACTAGTTTGGTTTCAACTAAAATTAAACTCTCTTACTTCAAAATAGATTCACCTGCATGGAATCATCAGCACTAAGTATTCGAGCCACACAGACCTCACATCATTGTTTTATTAGCTTCTTATTTTGTTTTCTGACTAAGAACCAGATCTAAAATAGTTCAAAGACTAATATACGTTAGACACACAGAGTTGATCATTGTAAACGACGTCTTTGGATTGCTTGAATGTCATTGGTTCTACTGACGCAGCGTGAGTGATCTTACTCGATAATACTAACAATTCCGTGTAAATGGATGGATTGCATGAGCCTCATTACATCCAATAAGGTGTTTTGTTATTATGTATGGCGAACGCAATATTCCCTCCTTCATAAACATTTATCATTCAGACTCATCTACTCAAGATTCGATGTTTGCCTCTCCTTCAGATTACCAATAGAATATTTCTGCTTTTAAGTTCCATAATTCTGTTACTGAATTATCTCAACAGTACACTTTCATTTAGCGATCCTATGATATTGTGATGATACGTCAGTGCTGGTGATCGGTTGTCAATTTTATGACTCTTACAACTCTTACGTTGGGTTCAGCATTTTAGTAACACCTGATGACTCCGATATTTACGAAAAGTGACGTAATAAGAAGCCGAATACGCATTCGGTTTGATGAGTTTATTTCAAGCAATCAATCATGCTGGCAGACAGGATAAAACGGGGCGTGAAGCAAAGCGAAGCTAAGTGTAGGAGATGTGATGAGACATGACTAAGAATTTATTGTTGTACAAAGGCCAGACGTGCACACTAGAATAAATGTAACCAAGATAAAAGAGATAGTTGGCAAGGTAGGAAGACGTATGAATAACTCCGGTAAAATGGATTGATTAAATCAGCCAGAGGCTGGGCAAGTCCTGTGAGCTCGACATAAGGCAAATACACTACAAATGATTGTTTCATGATTTGACTGC